CACACCCTAGATAACTAAAAACTTGTTTTTCAAAAGCCCCAAAGCAATTTAAGGTTTAATGTATCGTTTGAAATAATTTGTGAAATTTTCTAAACTTTTATGTAATAAAATTCAGAAATTCAGATTCAAAATTTCTTAGAATACTTAATGAAAACATGCATATGATATATGATTAGAAAAGTCTCATCACATAGAATAAAAACCCCCAAGATTTCTAAGATCAATTGCAAAAAAATTCAAACGAAATTTTATCATGAACTTTAGGTTCTATATGCAAATTTAGAATTATTTTAATAATTAAAAAAAAATTAGTCTTATAATCATATACGCATAGCTCTGATACAAAATGAAAAAGATAATTTTCAGTCCACGGTTCAAACTCAAAAGCAGGCATGAGAAAATGTTAATGCATGAAAGACTAATGGAGAGTTGTTACTTAGTAATTTTGAAAGTTTGTTGAAAATTGTATTATGTTTTACTGTTTGAGAAATTTATATTAGGTTTTAATTTTTTTATTAATATCGTTGCATTTCTTTGTTATTTTTTTATATACTCTTGTAATTTTGAATGTTTGTTAAACATTTATATGGTTTTTTTAAAATCTTATTAATCCATATTGTCATTTTAAATATTATAAATTCTATAAAAATCTTTTAAAATTTAATCTTATAAAATATTGATTGTAAAAAAAGTCTTTAAAGTCCCTCTAATTCTAAATAGTCTTTTAAAATCTTTAAGATTTTTTATCTCAAAAAAATCTTTTAAAATCCTAATACAATACATCTCTCTTAGTTAAAAAGAATAACTGCAGATAACTTTATCTAAAGTGGTTATAAAAATATTTAACCATATATATATATAAAGAAACACAAATTTGAAGCACTCTGAGTGGAAAACTATTAGAACATAACACCCTTTATTTTCAGTCATATATCTTATTAGTCTATTCAATTCCAAATTGTTTCTCATATTTTTTTAATTATTGCAAGGAAAAAGTTTAAATCCAATGATTTAATACAAGATACATTCAATACAAGATACATTCAGTGATAGCCAAGGTGGGGGAAATTCAAGATGCCTTTCATAAGGTTAATTTAGCACAAACTGACCTGTCTCATTCGGATATATTGGTTTGTTGGAAGCCACCAGTAATCAATTGGGTAAAGATTAATACTGATGGAGCAGTAAAAGGTAATCATGGATTGGCAGCTTGTGTGGTGTTATTAGGAATGATGCCGGTCAATGGTTAAAAGGATTTGCTTATATGATTGGTAGATGTGATGCTCTTACTGCAGAATTCTAGGGTATTTCAAAGGGTCTGGAGCTAGCTTGGGAAGATGGATGGAGAAATATTATTGCAGAGAGTGACTCTAAATCAGTTATTGCTCTGCTCACTAGTGATGGTGATGCAGTCCGCGAGAATCACCTAATTTCTCAAATACGGACATGGATTCAAAAGGATTAGAGAGTTCATCTGGTTCACACCTTCAGAGAATGAAACTTTTGTGCGGATTGACTGACAAATTTTTCTTTAATGAATGTTAATTCTGATGATTTTTGTATTTTTAATTTTCCACCCCTTGGAATTGGTCTGCTGTTTGATGCAGATTTAGCTTCTATTTGTAGAACTTGTCGTATTTCAATTATATAATTTTGTGTTGTGGTGTGTTTTACCCAGCTTGCCAAAAAAAAAAATTTAATCCAATATTTGACGGCATTAACATGGACTTAGATTATAAAAGTTACGGGAGGGAGTATAGGGGGTTAAATAATTTGGGAGCAAATCACAAGTGAGTTTTTAAAATTTTCCCTTAAAATATTACAAGAAATTAAACGTTATTCGATATTAAATATTTTGTTAAAAAACTATAAAAGAAGTGAAATCTGAGATAAATTGATAAAATAAGAAACAATTTTATGCAACTGCATGGAACTAATTTTTTTTAATATTTTTACTTTGAATATTTTTTAATTTATATTTTATTTAAATTTTAAAATATTTATATGTTGCACGATAAAGTATTTTTTTAAAATTTGAATATTTAAATAAAAATAAATTTGAAGATTTAAATAAAATAAATCTATCTCTATATATTAGATTCTAATTTATTCTTTTGGAATGGCTAAATTTTTAGATTTATATTTTTTTATAAAATCACAGATGCATTATTGAATTTTATTTTTTAATTTTTTAAATTATTTATGTATGTATATATTTTATAAATATAAAATTTCAATTCAAAATTTTATTTTATGTTTTTCCATATTTTATCAGAATTTAAAAATGCTTATATAATACACACAATGTTCATATATTATTAAATATTAAAAACCTTAAAAGAAAAAATAGTTCTCCTAAAGGTGGAAAAACGGGTCAACCCACCCTTACTAGCCGTCGACTCACCAAAAAATGGGTTGGTCCACCTTGTCTCGCTTATTGAATGTGGATTAAAAACCCTAACCCTCCCCGTTGTGTGTATATATATATATATATATATATATATATATATATATATATATATATATATATGGGTTGGCGAATTAACCCTCATAAAAATTAAAAAATAATTAAAATAAATTTTTTCTTAATTTTTTTCATCTCAAACTTAGATGTATGTTAATATTCAGCAAATGTTATTTAAAAATTTATTTTTGTCTCTATTTATAAATAATATTTGTCATGAATAAATATTTTCTTCTTTATTTATTTTAGGGAGTGTTAAGATAAAAAAAAATTGAATATTACAAAAGTTTAGACAAATAAAATACTAACCAATATTAAAAAAAAAAAAATCATCCCGGTGGGTCAATCTTCCCGTCCCATCGCCAACCTATGTTGACCCACAACCCGATGAGGCGGGTTGATGGGTTGATCTATCAAATTGAACTCATATTGTCACCTTTTAATTTCTCCTAAAGTTAATAATCTATTTTCTAGTAAAATTATATGTAAAATTGTCACTGTGGAGAAAATTTGGGGAGGTCATGAATCATGATGGTAGACCCCTGTACGCCTCGATTATCAATCTATAAATTTTGTGAATTTTTTTAGGGTGTTTATTTCCCCATGCAACAAGAGATAATATCTCCTATGTCATGACTCATGAGTACCGTCACCTATAAATTTCTTTGTTATTGCATAAAAATCGATGACTCTCAGCTGGAGAAAGCAACTTTTCAGCTATGATGCACGGACACGGACACGGGACACGGGACATGACACGACACGACATGCCGACACGTTAATTCTAAAAAATGTCATATTTGGACACGTTGGGACACGTTTTGATATTAAATAAATTTTTAATATATATAATATAATTTATATTTAAGACATATAAGAGTCCATAATAAGTCATATAACCAATCAAATATTTAAATTTCATAACATAGATATAAATATAAATAATTTTTCGTACTTTGTTAATTTTTCATGTCAAATTTCATAACAGAAAAAAATTAATTTATAAATTATTTCTTTTATATTTAGTTAACAAAATAAAATTAAGATTTAAAAAAAAAAAAAAAAAACGTGTCCGAACGTGTCCTAGCGTTGACTGCGTGTCCAAAAAAGTTGACTGCGTGTCCAAAAAACGTGTCGGAACGTGTCGGAGAGTTGACCGCGTGTCCCCAAATGTTGACCACGTGTCGGACGCGTGTCCGAGCGTGTCGGAGCGTGTCCGTGTCGGACACGTGTCCGACACGCAAAATTTTATTTGATCAGCGTGTCCGTGCTTTAGTGCTTTTCAGTTAGAGGAGAGTTGTTTTTCCTATTTTTTTAATATTAAAACTCATTATGAAGTCAAACGCATAAAATTTTGACTAAATAGATAACTGAGATTGACAAAAAATTGCTTTCATTGAATATTTCAAAATTTAGTAATTGAAAATTGAGGTCTCAAACACCATTTTAAAAGATATGAAAATACAATTTACCAAAAAAAAAAAAAAAATATGAAAATACCTAAAACACTATAAAAATAAAAATGTAAAATTATGATATTATCATTAAAAGTAAAAACCAATCCTAAAATTTTATTGAAACAATCTCGAAAACAAAATAAATAAATAAAGTATATATCATTCCTTTGACATGACTTTTACTTCTGAATATGAGACGATTAGATGCATCTTATTAATATATTATTAATTAAAATTTACTCGTGAAAAAAAGATTAGGTAATTATACAAGTTTCAACGGAAATTTATACTAATACTTACAAAATTACATATTAAAAAAATCACTTAAATCTAATATAATTTTTTTTTAATAATTATTACCTTCAGACTTCAACCTTTATCGTTTTTTATAGAAAAATATTAGTCTCATATTTTATGAGAGTAGTTCTGAGAGTAGTTCTCTCATGTTATAGAGAGAATTCAAGTGGGACCCACTATTAAAAAAAAAAAAAAGGAAATGCAATTTTAAAAGTGAGAAAAAATGAGATAATTATTTCATGTAAAATAAGAATAATATTTTCATTTTCTATATATAAAAAAAAAACAGTTCATTAATCTGTGCGCTCAATCCTCGTGAATTCCCATTATGTAGTGTATGCAATGTGTACTATAAGTACAAAAATTGCGTGACCATAATTTGGTTTTGTTAATGAAGTTCCTTTATTGTGTTGTAATTATCAGCTAAATTTTCCTTGTTCCATGCCTTCCTTACTATCATGATTTCCATTTCCTCTGCATCCCAAAAGGGTTCATAAATGATCCCTCTTTACTGCACAGAAGATGAAGAGCACTCATATCCAATTACACAGTCCAGCCACGTGACCATTCTCCGCACGTGGCACCATCCCATACCCGATGCTCTAAATCATTCACCTACTCCTTTTCCCATAGAATTCTCAATTTTCAGTTCTCAGTTCTCACACAAATACAACCCCTACAACACTAAAACTTATCTCGCTATCCTTTCTCATTTCTTACATAACAACAACAACAACACACAAACCTTAACCATAAAATTACAAACACAACATTAAACGACGATGTCTGACCCTTCCACCCCATTGCCAATCTTACCTGATCCACACCGTCAACACCACCATCTACCACTCACACACGGTGGCGCCACCGCACCCTCTTCCTCCTCCTCCATAAACAGAGAATACCGCAAGGGTAATTGGACCCTCCAAGAGACACTGACTCTCATCACTGCAAAGAAGCTAGACGACGAGCGTAGGATGAAAACTAGTTCAACGTCATCAACGACTCCACATGAACCCACCACCAGCAACAGCAGAACCAGTGGTGAACTAAGGTGGAAATGGGTGGAGAACTATTGCTGGAGCCATGGCTGTTTAAGAAGCCAGAACCAATGCAATGATAAATGGGACAACTTGCTTCGTGATTACAAGAAGGTTCGTGACTATGAGTCCAAATCAGAATCTTCCAACAACAACAACAATGATTTCCCTTCTTATTGGACCATCAATAAACAACAACGCAAAGAGCAGAACCTCCCTTCAAACATGGTTTTTGAAGTGTACCAAGCCATAAGCGAAGTGTATCCAAGGAAACAAACCCAAAGAATTACCACACCACAACCTGTTGTCACATTACTTACTTCATCACCACTTCAAACACAACGACCTCTACCTCCACCTCCTCCACTTCCTCTACAACAACAACCTCCTCCTCCTCCTCCTCTTCCTCCGTCGCAACCTCCGGCTACCTCCACCACTCCGGCGGTTTCAGGTAATGCACTAATCAATGTGCTACACAGCTCACTCTCTATACACTTTTTTTTTTAAATAAATAAATAAAACAATTTTTGGATGTTGTGTTGGGTGTGGGTTATGGTCAAACTTGCAGAGTCTGTAAACCCTGCCACACTTAGTGGGACCCATTTTTTTAATCTTTTTTTTTTATATGGTACAATCAGTTCCATGCTATTTGAAATACAAGCTGAGAGCTGTGAAAGTTTTCTGACCGTTCGATGAATCTGTGACTGCATCCCACGGTGCATGAGGAGAATTGTGATGCTATTGGTGGTATCTTAGACCACGTTACTCCACTGCACAAAGATTCTGGTTCCCACTTTAAAGCTCTGGAAATTTCAATTTTTTTATTTTTTTCAGTTTACAATAGTTAAAAATAATATTTAGAAAAATAAAAATAAAATAAAGGGCTCTACAGTACAATCACGCAGACCAGTGTGTGAAAAGGGTACCATCTCATGATTGTCATGGATTTTGTGGGCTGTCCAAGAAAACAGATTCTAAGTTGCTTAATCCCTCTGGGTGTAATCATTAACATAATCTTTAATCCTTAATAACAACAAAAGCTCGTATCTTACTCTAAATTAAATAATATTAGTTTTTAAAAAAAAAATAATATTAGTTAGATTTCCACGTAGCCAATGCTTCCACCAATCACATCTCATTACCAAACTCATGCAAATTAAATACTCCTTAATACCATCTTCACATTCTATATTCAGCTGCTGAACCATCATTATTATTATTATTTTGGAGTGGGGATCAATTTTATTTATATTTATGATATACTTATTTCTAAGCCAAGATTAGTCCTTGTTATATATTATGTTGTTTGTTCCTTTATCAATTCATGAAATGTAGCCCTGATAATGAACCTTGTAATGGTGTTAGGAACTTTGTGATTCTATTGTGTAACTTGTTTGATTGTAGAGAGGTCAGAATCATCAGGCACAGAGCACAGTGAGGATGATGATGGCTCGGAATCTAAACGTAGGAAAGTTAGGAACCTTGGTTCGAGCATAATACGCAGTGCATCAGTATTGGCACGAGCTATTACGAGTTGTGAGGAGAAGAAGGAGAAACGGCACCGTGAACTGATCGAGATGGAACAAAGGCGGCTTCAGATAGAGGAAGCTAGGAACGAGGTTCACCGGCAAGGTATCGCCACCCTTGTCGCCGCCGTGACCAACCTTTCCGGTGCCATTCAGTCACTCATTAGTTCTGAACGCCATGGCCAAAGATAATAATGTGCATGATATATATATATGCTTCAATTCTCTTAGTTTATTATGTGATTAAGAAAAAAGAAAAATCATAAAATATTAATTATCAGCCATTCTTTCCCCCACCTCTTAAAATCCAATTGGAGTCTAATATTTTTGAGTCAGTTTCACCAATTGATTTCACATGATATATATATGTCAGCTGATATGTGTGATGCATTGTGGTATATGTTCCATTCTTTGATGGAGAAACCAAGCCTAACATTAATTGTTTATTGGGACACGGTTGATCTGGTGATTTATTATGTATATAATTTAATTAATGTCTTACATTTTTTCTTTCTTTCTTTCCTTCTAAATATAGATTGATGAATCTTCATGAGATTATTTGAACTTTTAAGTACTGAACCATATGCTACTAATTTTAGACATGAAGCTTTAATTTATGTGATATTAATTTTTTACCCTTTTGTCATTTTCCTTGTTTTAAGAGGGGTGACGATTCTCTATCGTAGTTGTAGAACTTATATGAAAATGCCAAATTCATTGGTCACACCAAATGGTCATTGATGGGGATTCTTCAGACATAATTGGGCAAAGGGTGTACGGGTAACTAAGAAGTTAATGGGAATTTTTGGTAGCTAAAGAAAGGGGATTTGATGGATGGGTAATTTGGGAATAGAACCTGCTTTTTTGGGGGGTACCACGGAGTGAAGGAGGGGAAAGGGGCTGCTGACAAGTGTGGCAGAGGGCAGAGAGTGCTCATCCTCACAAGGGACAGTCAAAGTGTCTGAGTCAATTTCTTTTGACCACATAGGACACTACCCCACCACTTTGCCTTGAGTACCCTTCTCTCTCCTCCTCCTCTCATATACGTCAAAACTATGATAGACTCTCCTCAGTGATGCTTTTTTATTCCCAAAATGCCCCTCCTCGTCCCATCTCTCTCTTCCTGGCTAGTACAGTCTACACAGACTGCCTTTCCAGGCATCTTTTTAACTCACCAATCCTGCTTCTTTATCACCGACGCCACCACTTTCCCATTTCTAATCACATAACGCACCGTTTTCAGGTCCATTAATAACTTCTTATAAGCTTCCAGCAGAGAATAGAAGTGGTGGGTCTCATGTGAAGGAGAAAAAAAAAAATATATTTTACATGCAGAGTGAATTATTGGTGATATGAGAAGAAACTTCTCATACAATAGGAAAAGTTTTTTTCCATCTATATATATGTTTAAATAGTTTTGCTCTTCTCATGATAGGCAACATGAGACACGAGACAATAGATATTCTAACACGTTAATTTTAAAATATTAAATTTAATATGTAAAAAATTAATTCAACCCAAAAGCTTAAGCTGTTGAGTGGAGTCACATTAATGATTTTATATATCTCAACAGATATTAAATAATATTTTTAATTTATGTAATATATATTATATTTAATATGAAGAGGGATATTCTAACTACTAAAATTTTTCACTGCCAACTTACTGCCTATCTAATCACCATTAGATTAACATTTTAGAATTTCTTCAAAAACTTTTTAACATTCTCTCTTTGATCCAATAGTGATGTGATGCGTAGTAAGTTAGTAGTGAGAATTTTTGGTAGTTAGAATATCCTAACTCATTTAATATTCAATAATTTAACAAAAAATAAAGTTAAAATTATAATACACATTAATTTTGCAAAGAAACTCAATAAAATGATAATCATAATCTAACAAATCTAATAGTTGGAACTAAAAACACAACGCAACGTAACCTTTGAATCCTTTTTTGAATCTCCCTAAAACATGTTGGAGTGTCGAGGAATGTCAGATACGACACTTTAAATTTTTTGAAGTGTCGGTGTATCATATGTAATATGCAAGGTTGACTAGTGCATAAATATCTATATTTCTGCTTTCTTACGTTAAGAAAACCATATATTTGATCACTGCAACACCACTTCCACTCGCAAGTGATTGGGCAAAGAAGCTAGGAAGAGTAAGAGTAGAGAAGACATCACGTGCTATTCACATTCCAGGGTTATTTTTGTTTATTTATTTATTTTTTGCAGAAATATTTATGTTAATATTAGAATTCAATGATGATTAGTGAAGTTCTATATCAATCGGAAAAGAACTAACTCAAAATCATACAAGTGGAATGATCTATAAATTCAATATTTTATAGGTTTGAATTAAGATATAATATCACACTCATTTATTGTGAAGAATTATAACTTAGCCCATTTGATGAAAATTCTTTCCTTATTATACCATGGCTCCCAAAGAATATATTCTGAAAGAACTTTGTTGTAATAAATTTCATTCGCGTGTGATTTATAAAATATTATTATTTTGCATCAGTCTTCACAGTCCAATACATGTAGATCGATTTGCAAATATCCATTAAGGGATTACATTTATATCTTCACATAATGAGCAAATGAAGCTCGCCTTAAATGGTCTTTCATTCTCGCTCACAAGGTCTTCATAGTCCAATACATGTAAATCGATCTGCAAAGACCCATTATGGGATTACATTTATGTCTCCACATAATGAGCAAATGAAGTTTGCCTTAAATGGTCCTTCACTCTCCTGCACAAGGCCTTCATAGCCCAATACATGTAGATCGATCTGCAAAGACCTGTTAAGGGATTACATTTATGTCTCCACCAAATGAACCTCGCCTTAAATGGTCTTTCATTCTTCTGCACAAGGCCTTCATAGCCCAATACATGTAAATCGATCTGCAAAGACCCATTATGGGATTATATTTATGTCTCCACATAATGAGCAAATGAAGCTCGCCTTAAATGGTCCTTCACTCTCCTGCACAAGGCCTTCACAGCCCAATACATGTAGACCGATCTGCAAAGACCTATTAAGGGATTACATTTATGTCTCCACCAAATGAACTTCGCCTTAAATGGTCCTTCATTCTCCCGCACAACTCACTATAGTACCCGTAGTGGTGCACGTCCTCACTCACCCAGTGAGGAATTGGGTAAACGTTTATGGCTCCTCTTACTTATGAGGAAATATTTTTTACTTATATATACATTTCTTCTCAACTGAAGAGACATCTTGCATTCATTACTTTCATAAATTGTTACTTTGACAAATTCTAGACTCACTATGCCCTGCACATTCCCCTTCTTTTAGCCTAACTTGAGACAACACCTATGGTGACTCTATATGTGCTTTGGTCTATATCATTTCTACTTTGAGCACATATACAATGATATAGACCTATTTCCAATTCCATAATAGCTCATTATTAATGATTGGTTTTGAAGTATTGGTTTTGAAGTATAATTAGAGAACGAATCCACTTACCACAAAAAAGTTTACAACTCTTACAACCAATTTAATCACCGTTGATTTCCGTCAATCTCACGGTTATAATTTATTGAAAATTAATAAATGTGACACAATAAATATTATTAATTTATAACCGTTAGATTGACAGAAATCAACGGTGATTAAATTGGTTGTAAGAGTTGTAAACTTTTTTGGTGGTAAGTGGATCCGTTCCCGTATAATTATAGGGGTTTTTTTTTTAAGAGGAGGGCTTCAAGCCCAGAACAAAAACAAAGGAAACTACGAAAACGCCTATGCAAGCTAGTAACAACGTGCAAACTCTCTAGATATTGAGTAGTTGCTAAAAAAGTATTTATTTTTGATAGACTTTATATATGTATTTTTTAACAACTACTGTGTGGATCGGTTTTGCAATTGGTTACTACTAACTTCGAGGTTTTCCAACAAATAAATGCTTGCAAGTCTAGAATTCTAATCACTATTTAAATAGTGTATTTTGTGTACTATCACGCTTAATTATTATTTACTGGAATTGATAAATATCATACATTATGAGCCAATTTTTGAAGATTTAACCAAATAACTACATTGCTAGATTAAATGGCTCAAACCTTACCACTAGAACCCAATTAAAAAATAAATTTGAAATATGAAACTATATAAAAATGCTATTTACCTACAACGGAGTGGCCCATTTTCTTCCTCGATTGAAACCATGGGCTAGTCTGCTTGGGCCCTCTAATAATCAGTCCACATGCAGGCCTGAACCTGGTTCAGTCACAGACCTGTTTAGGGCGCGAAATTCATTATAACCACATTAGTTTTAAGCTAGATGATGATAAGAAATTTCTAGATAGGTAATTAAGCTTAATTATAAGCATATCAATTTGATATTAAATATAGGTTTGTATTGGATATGTTATAAATAATATATATATATATATATATATATAATGTCTTTATACGTGTTTAATATTAAATAGAGTGTATATCATTGATACCTAATACATGTTTAGTAATTTCTCCAGGACAAAACATGATTATAATTACCCCAACAAGTGACAAATTTCAACCCCAATGTCTTCCTATTCATTCCTTCGTCATAAGTGTCACAAGAAAAAAAAACACAAGACCGCTCCCCAAAACGTTAAAACAAACTTAGCTCCAGCCTCCAATTGTGATGTAGAGCACATTCGAATTTGAAGGAAAAAAAAAAAAAACTTACGGATAAGTGTGTGTGAAAAAATTATTTTCCGTATTGGTGTTTTGAGAGATTTTGGTACCTTAAATGTCTCCCTTTTAAAATAATAATAAAAACATCACATAATATGGAACAATCATTGTGAGAGGCACCACAGCCTCAGGAACAATATGTATTTGTGAACAAAATAGCATAATCGCCTTTGATATGCAAGCTCTCTTCCCCTGTCCAAAATAGGATTTTTTTTTTTTTTCAATATAACGGTACTCCATTTTTTCCAAATTAGAAATTTTTTATTTCATTAGAATCCATATATTTTTGCATATTTCAAATCAAATCTTGATACTTTACTCTTTTTAAAAGTAATGTAGAAAAATAATGTAAGTACTATAATTGTACCAAAAAGCTCTTAAATAATTAAGTCATCCTACTTTTATTTATACTTCCTCTCACGTTCTTGTTCTAACTCCTAATCTCATCAATTCTCAACTCATACATGGAGTTTTGTGTAAAAGATCTTATCTTATGTATTATTATTATTTTCAAGAACGTTATTCTTACAAATTCTTTTCGCTTACAACTTCTTATAACAAGTGGCGGAGCCAACTTCCCAATCTAGGTAGGGCCAAAGAAAATTCAGCTAATGTCAAATATAAAAATATGAAAGATTATTTTGCCACAGTCAGTTAGCCACGTTTAAAACGTGGCTAATTATAGAATTTCAGCTGCCTAGCCTATATTAGGCCTATTATAAATACTAAAATAGAACAGACCTAGACTTTTAAAAAAATCTATTTAGAAAATAGGCTATAGACTTTTTTGTACATAACGAACTTATAAGCCTACAGGCCCACCTCTATCATATTATTTGTTTAAAATATAATAAATAAAATTATTATTTTAATAATTTTTAATAATAAAGTACTATTATTTTAGTTATTCTTTTAATTGTTGAATGTTTAATGGACTTAAACAGGCTAATAGGCCTAGGCCAATGCTTTTATTTTTTAAATATAGGTCAAAACAGACTTGTAATTTGGGGCCTACACAGGCTAATAGGCCAGACTATATCCAATATTTTTTACATAGACCTAGCATTTTTAAGCCAAAGTCTAATCTAGCTCAGCCCATTTACACCCATAACACCCATAATGTACGTGGCTCCGCCATTGCTCACAACCTATTTTTTAATCATTAATTTTTATCAAACCAACAGTTTTAATTTATTGAATCATATTTATTCATTAATATTTAATTAGTTAGTTAGAATTTTAAATATTTGACTAGATATTGTCAACCAGTCATTTAGAAATTGATATTTTATTTGTCAGTTATTATTTTAATTATCTTGTTAATTATTGATAGCTAGTTATTTAATAATTAATGTTTACTACTGGTATTCCAATAAAATATATGATACAAAAGCAAAATAAAATTATTAAAATATCATTTAAAAAAAAAAACCAAAATAACGTTTTGGATTGATGGAAAATAATTTTATTTCCTGTTAAATCAAAATGACAATTCTTTTTTTATTTATATTTTTTAATTATGATAAAATCACCTAATTTTAACCTTTTTATATTAAGAAAAAGTGACTCTTGAAGTATATATTGTAGTAATTAATTTTTCTTAATAACCTAACAGTGCTTGATTCAATGATAGTAACAAAATTAATCCTTTATTTATCATTTTAATAACAAGAAAAGTATTTAAATTGAAATATAAAACGGCTACCAAATTTAATAAATAAATAAAATGAGACGACGACGATGGAAAATTATGGTCCGAATTTATGAACCAAGTTTTTCTGCTTTCATCGTTGAAACGAAGCGCTCGCAGCCTCGCACACACACGTTGAAGTTCCTTTTGTAAATCCAACATCGTTTCCTTTACTTCTCTGCGATCCACTCAGTGCCTGACTCTCTAGTTCAGGCACCTTCCTTCTTCACCTCAACACATACACGCTTTTCAGGTTCTACCTTTTTTTTTTTTTTTTTTTTTTTCTTACTAGGGAAAGAAAGGAAGAGGTTTATGTCATATTTGAGTTCGAATAATTAATGGGTATTGTTTATTTTCTTTCTTTTTTCCAGTTTTGGAAAAAAGATTTTGTTTTTGCCCAAATCGTAGAGGATGCAACTGTCTCTGCACTAGTTTAGCTTGTTGGATCTTAACTTGTATTCGATTATGAGGTTTCTTTCGATGCTGATTGAGTTTGGGAGGAAAATTCTTGCTATGGATTGAGTATAAGTCTCAAGATTTTTTTTTGGACATGTTGAAAATTTCAAACTTTATGCCATGGGGTTTTGTTGATGTTTGATTTGTTTGTGTAAGTTAACTATAAGATTTGGATGATATTGGTATTTAATAATTTGAGTGTTTTCTTTGTTGTTGTCATCATATTCGTAATAATTTTCTTTTGATTGAATAGAATTATTTTTTTTTTTTTCTAACCCTTGATTTGGTTTTCTTAACTGGAAATTGATGATACCCTTAAAACTGAAGATTAGGCTAAATGGCGAGGATCAAACCTCAGGCTCTGCTCCAGCAAAGTAAAAGGAAGAAGGGTCCTTCTCGCATAAGCGCCACGACTATTATATTTTACGCTTTGTTCCTTGTCTTGATTGGATTTTTCCTGTTTGCTACGTACAGACATTGGTCCAACAGGTTAGTGAAAGATTTTCTGTTCTAGCTGTGAAGGCAGATTCGTAGTGTGAGAAATTATATGCAATATGTTTTGTTTCCTAGACTGAAAACAATAAAAGATGTGTTAAAAATTGATACTTGGCGAAATTGAGCTCTAGCTTCATCTAGACTTGTTCAGCATTAAAGTGACTGTTGATATGTTGGATGCTATTGCTACCAGATAGAGGAATGTCTGGAAATTGTACTTTGTTGCTAGGCTTTATTTTACTGCTATCTTGATTGACACTCCCCATATTTTGTGGTGATTGAACCTTCAGCTTCATTCTGATGTCACTTTAGTTTATTTTCTGTTTCTGGCAGAAGAAAATTTTGTTTGTTGAACATGTACAGAAGCTTTTCCATTGAATTTTTCAAAGTAATATTTTACTTTAACAAGATGAGTTTAAATGTAATTGTAAAGAACCATTTCGACTCAAAAGCTTAAGCTTTTGGATGATGTTACATTAATGGTTTTATATTTCTCTAACACGTCCCCTTACATGAGAGCCCATTGGGCTTGAAGGGTGGATGATTCATCAGGCCTAGCCTACCTGTGTTAAGAAACTCCATAATATTTTAATTATTTTTATTAATAGAATAGGGGCAGTGAGAATCGAACTCATGACCACTTAGTCATGTCGGCTCTGATACTATGTAAAAAATTATTTCAACCCAAAAGCTTAAGCTTTTGGATGAGGCTACATTAATGGTTTTATATTTCTCTAACATTAACAAGCATTAATAATATGATTTTTGATAATGTCATTGTAGTAAATTAAGAGAATTGATTTTTAACGGATTGTGTTCCATTTTCTCATATGGAATAGGAAGTTCAGAAGAGCATATTCTGTTACCTAACAATTCATTTCTTACCTGCATTCAGGTCAAGAATTCAATCAGGGAATAACTTGTCAGTCTCTGAGGTACATCTTTAAATGCATTGTCAAGGGATTACATAACTCTTCAGTCCTTTTATATTTGCTTGTTATCTTATTCCTCTACCAAGGCTTTGTTCATTATATCTGAAAGGTGTATATTATGTGCATGTTTGAGTTTGCCCATTGAGATAGGGAGGCTGCAAGGTCAATAGTTTTTGCATTTGCGAATTGAATTGAATTATTATATCTTGATCAAACTGCTTTTTGGTAGGGAGAAAATATTTTTGTGGACTCGAAGAAATCTGACCTACCTGGATATGCTGTAAGTTTCATTTACGAGACTGCTGTAATTCCTTGTTTTTGAACATTTTCTAGTGAAGTTAAATTTTAATGAAGTTTATAATGCTCCTTAGTTGAAATTATATTTTATAACCTGTTTTCCTTTTTCTTCATTATTATAGGTTTTAAATACCTCTAAAGGCTCTATAATAATAGAACTGTACAAGGAAAGTGCTCCTGAAGTTGTTGATGAATTCATTGAGTTATGGTGAGTACTTGGTTTTTCTTTAGAATTATAATTTGGAGGCTGCTGAGTGGTTTAGGGGTTTGATTTTTGCAAACTCTCCCTCTTTTCTTCTTGTCTGTCATTCGTTTTGGTTGGACTTGTATTTGGAATAGAAGAAATTGTTTAAGTTTGAATATTGATATCATGTGATAGACATAGGGAGGAAAATTTGATCTTTGTTTGGTGATTAGAGTATTCTAGGTTATGTTTACACCACTTTTTCCCTTGTGTCTATAATCTTTAACAACATAAAATTGAAAGAATTGGTATAAAACCTTATGCTTGTAAGATTCTTTAGCATATTCTAATTGGATTTAGTGCATCTCTGGATAATTTTAGCTAAACTCTATTTTGATCCTTGAAATTTGACTCACTTTTTAATTTATTTTCAATCTCAACTCATTTTCGAGCTGTCATTTAAGATTGAAAGTCTTCTCCAAAATACATGTCACATCGTCATTTTCTGTCTTTGGTGGATTGAAGCATGTTGTGAATGTTTCAACGTTATATTCTCTGCAAATAACATTGTTTATCAATGAACGTCCACTCAGATATATATAAAATATATATATATATATACTATGTAGAGCATGACCCGAATATATCCGCTTGATGCTTTAGTTTCTCTCATATTTTAAAGTCCATAGTGAAAGGTTAATTGTAAAAAATATAGGTGCAGTGTGCACAAACATTTCAAAAAATAAAATAACTTCACTTAAAACATGTCAAAACTTTTAAAATTATGGTAATAACTTTTGGAAAAACTGTAATTTTTCTCTGTAATAACGATATGAATAAGAATATTAGGATTATTAATATGGACTTGTACTACATTCGTACTTGACCTAGATTTTTATTATAAATAAGAGTATCAGGTCAGACTTATGTATCACAAATTCACAACATCACAATTATTCAGAAGCCTATTAGTGAAATATTTTCTCTCTTTTCTCATCTCCATCAAATCGCTAAATTTGAATTCAACAATAGGAACTGTTTAACATGTTTTATAAGACATACTACAACTTGTTATAATTTGTGCTTTTTATGTGGAAATTACTTTAGTTTGTAAAATTTTTGTGCACTGACAGTTCTGTGCAAGATGACTTATCATGGAATATATAGGATTAGGAGGTTTTTCAAAACCAGGTGAGTGTGACAGCTTTGAAAACTGAGTTGAGTAGTACAACTTTGAGCGTTGCTATATCACTCAATATAGCTACACTATCATAGCATCCCAAAATGAACATGTTCTCTCGTGGCTGGAGGGAGCACAGCTGTTTTGTGGGGCCAACACTTGCATTATATGAATAACAGCTTTTCTGTTCAATACAGCTCTTTGGGTGGATGATAGATACTGGAATTATACCGAAACTATAATATAACTCAAGGAGAAAACTCTACTTTGTAGCGACTAGATTCTGTTCAGTGACACAGATTTGGACTAGAACTAACAACAAAGAAAAGAAAAGCAGCAGAGAAAAGAGTATTCAGAGTTGAATTAACAGAATCTGCTCTTCCCAAACCATTATCCAAAATTCTTCTATCCTCCCTCCTCCTCCTTATTCATGTTTTCTTTACCCTTTCTCATTACCGCAGAATTTCCCTTCTCCAATTTCCTGCTGCCACGGCCACATGTACAATCTGTTACACTCTCCCTCTACCACTTCCACTTTACTCATAACAGCATTTCTCCCTCTCCTCTCATACACACGTTCCAGCCCCCCTCCCACCCTTTTTTTTCTAGCATTTCTTTAACTTTTGTTAGTATCAATTTGTGTTGTGTGTTTATTACAAGGGGTTTACTACATGAAATTTGTTTGAATCTACCTACTTATGCTTCCAACCTAAACTACAATTGTTTTGCAGTCAGAAAGGGCACTTCAAGGGAATGCTTTTTCATCGAGTGATTAAGCACTATGTGATTCAGGCTGGGGATAACCAAGGAGCAGGAGCTGCTGAAGATTGGAACTTGAGAGGAAAACAACATTCAAGGTTTTCTTGTTCTTTCGGTTTTTGCAATTTAAGTATATGATATGTAACCATTGACAACCCTATTGATATCTGCCAGTAGTTGCATAATTTTCTAATTAATAGATCTTGTGATGATTAACTAGTATGAAACATGAAGCATTCATGCTTGGAACTTCCAAGGGCAAACACATCAACAAAGGATTTGATCTTTTCATTACAACTGCACCGATACCAGATCTAAATGAGAAGCTTATTGTGTTTGGGCAAGTCATCAAGGGAGAGGATGTTGTTCAGGTGACTGAATTTGCTTTGCTCATTATGTCTGCAATAATTGTGTGAAAATTTGTTTATCTTTTCCTTTTCCTGTTAGTAAGAAGGCTGTCTGCACGTCTTTTTCATGTGTTGGCTGTTAATGATTGTCTTATTATTATTATTATTATTATTTTCAAAAAAATAAATCAAGGTTAAATGTGTTGTTCAATACCGATATTTGTTGATTTATCACTTTGCATGTATTTATAATACTGAGTAATAAAGATGATAATGGTTATAGAAGGTAGATACCATACTAATCTTGACATCTGTATAAATGGAGTTAATATTCTGAGATTTTTTTTTTTTTTTTTTTGGTACATATATTCTGAGATTTTCTATTGTGTTTGGAATCAAAATACATCAAGCTGTTTTGATATCAGTTACATTACTTGTGTTTCTTATTTCTGAGAAATTATGGGTTTTTAATGCTTGCAAACTGTGCAAAATCAGCAATGAGTTTCATGATTAAGGTTGACAATGAATGTTACATAACCTGTTCCAGGAAATTGAAGAAGTGGATACAGATGAACATTACAAACCTAAAATATCTATTGGGATACTTGATGTGACTCTTAGACAGAAGATCTGAAGGCTCTCTGCTAGACCAAGATCATAATGAGCTCTCTCATACTTTGCTGATAACCTGTTTTGGGACTCCGGTCAAATCTTATGTACAGGGATGATGAACCTTGAGCATTTCACCTGGGGTGCATCAATCATGTGTCTGAGCCTTGATGTTACTTTCGCTATTGCATTTTTAGTTAACACACGAATTATGTAATATTTTTTCACCTCTTTCTGCCATTTTATTATTATTTTTTTTTATTTCCTTCTTTTTTGAAAATAGGTGGGGGGTGTAGGTGGGATTTTGCAATTTGCTTATATGGTTTGGTAATATCACATTTTATTTTTTAAATTTGGCATTACTCATCATTTGTAACCTTAATGAGATCACCAAATCATTTCGTTTTGCCTACCTATGCTGTTCATGTATCTTTTGTGCTTCTATTAATGGCAAGTTTGGTGGTTTAGCCAGAATGGTAAACTTTGTAATATTTCCTATAATGATGTTTAATTCACATTTCCATTTGGTCATAAAAGCCGTAACCATATACTACATTAACTTGGTGGCAGTTGGAGACTGCAATATTTCTAAAGTTAAAAAATTGAGCATTGATCGGATATCCCTTTAGTCATTATGTGATCGATTTTGTTGGTGAGAACGGCAATTTATACCTTTTGTTTTATTCTAAGAAATTCGCTACTGAATTTAAAACATTCATTATTATGGTAGGAACAAGTCTTAGGAAGTTAAGGGTGGCAAACCTTGGTTTGGGTGCAGAGTCAGCATGACATTCCATAGTTGTAAATAGTGTGTACTTCTGTTTGGTGGTTCTTGTCACACTGGTTAGGTACAGCTGCTTCTAGTAGTTGCCCAACTACAATAGAGGCCAAAATATTAGCTACAAGTGGAGAACACTGAATATTAATGCTTGGAGAAAAATGTTATAGCATGATACTGAGGGTATGTGTATGTGCTATATTTATTCTTGCAGGTCCATATTCAAAAGGGTGGTGCCAGTTTGTATTGGGCTCTTGGATTTGTTTATGCATCCTCATGCTTCTTGGGTTCCTGAATACAGCTTTGGGGAATGTTGTTGTTTGAAATGGGTTTTGCTAGGGACACAAATGAGCGTTTTTCACAATGCTAGTAACGTGGTGCAAAGGGAAACCAACACAGGTTAAAACTTTGGAGAGAACCATTTTGGAGGCAGGAGACGTCACAAGGGACTAAAAAATTATGCTAATTTCCTTTAACACTCCAAATTTATTGGGAAAACATTAGTATTTTCAAATACAAAAATTGTATAATATGTTCTACAGTGTGTCTCGGAGATAATAGCTTGGTGTTTTGGTGAAGGTGAGTAAGAAAGGCATTTTCTTTTCAAGCCTTGGGCTGAAACTTGTTCACCCATGAAACCACTTAAGGTTCTCTCTTGGAGGACAAACCTTTAATTTTAGAAGATTTTCTAACATTTAAGAACTAATTGAGTTGTAAGCCAATAGTATTGGTTTAATGGTAAAGGGTTTTGGTAGGTTTTATTTGGTTACGTGTTCAATTCGAATATTCAAATAAAAAGAACTAACTGAGTAGTCATATTGATATTTTTTCTAACAAATTACAAAAATAAACTAGTTTTGACTTTCGAAAGATGTTCTCAATATTTTTTTTCTTCTTATTTTGCCATGTCAGTATATTTTGTTTTCTGCAATCTGTGCAGTCACTTATTTTCTGTTATGTGCATAAGTAATGTGACTTGCATCTAGGTGTAAATAGGCTGGGCTGGGCTGGGCTGAGCTTTGGCCATCCTGGCTCAAGCCTACGTAAAAAAAAATTCAGCCTATCTGGCCCATTGGCCTATTAAAGGCTTTATTTGTAGGCCAAGCCCGACCTGTTAGAATTGAATATCCACACAGATGCAAGAGACAACCAAACTTGTGTATCTACAAAAAACTTTTCTTTTCTATTCTTACTTTCTTGCTCTTTCTCTTTTTCTCTTGATCTACTTGATCTCTTGATCTACATTTCATACAAACTATCAAAAGGCTATTTATAAGCTATAAAACTGACCAACATAACTCCACACATAACACCCTCATTACTTTATAACTGACATAACTGACTCATTAATATTCTAACTGACATAACTGACTCATTAATATTCTAACTGACACAAGAAACTAAATAACCAAAACTGCTAAAAAACGGACATTTAAAATTTATCCCAACAAAACTTCCCCATAAATTTTAAATTCTTCTTTCTTTCTGCTTTTCTTCAACTTTCTGATCGCGCCTGTTTTCTTCAATCTTGATCACTGACAAAAAACATCTAACACCTTCCAACTTAATTAACTCAAAAAATATATCCCCTGCAATTATTTTTTTTATAATGATGTTTAATTCACATTTCCATTAAATTTGTGTGTAGATACCAAATTCTAACAAATTGGTATCAGAGCCTGGGCTATGGAGGAAAAGAACGAGATGGAAATGCCACTCTTTTATGGAGATAAAGATGAAGCATTGGTCTCCTTACTCAGTCTGAAAGAATATTTTCGTAGAGAAAAAACATTTGAAGAGGACAAATGGCAGGTAGCCATGAGAAGACTCAGAGGAAGCGCAATCAAATGGTTCCGTACATGGAACTGCCGCGACTTTAATAATATGTGGAAGGATTTTCTAATGGCCTTCATAACAAAATACTTGCCTGGACGTTTTGATCTGATTAATGAAGAAGATGAAATCTTCAATGATGATGAGGAAAATGATGCGGATGAAGAAGAGACCGAGATGGCAGAATCCGAGGTTGCCAACGGCAACGCATCCGCGGAGGAGATTGACGTGTCGGAGCACGTAAGAGACGACTCGGAGAAGAAGACGATGGAGATGACTACGGTCGAAGGAGCCGATATAGAAGAGGAGGAGAACAAGGGAGCCGAGATAGAAGAGGAGAACGAAGGAGCTGAGATAGAAGATGAGGAGAACGAAGGAGCCGAGATCGAAGCGGAGAAGGACGGGAACGACAAGTCCATTGTCAAGGTAGAAGACTTCGTGGAACCTGAGTGTCTGGAGACAGAGTCGAAAATCGGAAAGGAGATTGAGAAGTCGAGGTGCTTGATGGAGACCGGCTTGGAGGAGACTGCGAATCCGAGTCTCATGTTGATAACCGGGGTGGGGGAGATCCCGGCTAAATCACCGAGTTCATGTTTTGGAAGAGACTTCGACCCCAACGTGACGAGGTCGACGTCGGCGACCGGCATAGGTCGCCGATTCGAGATGCCATTGAGGAAGTGCGAGGAAGACGACAATGAAGGAGCCGAGAACGGCGAAAAAATAGAAGGTGCATTTGAAGAAAAGGATGTGGTCTTGAAGAGAAAAAGAGGTTTTGTTGACAATACCAATGATGCAGAAATTGGGATTGGACGAGGAAATAAAATTGTGAAAGCAACTGATGAAGTGGCGAATGAAACTGAGAAGAATTTGTGTGACGAGAAACTAGCAGGTGAAGAAGATGCAGCGAATGGAAACAAGGAAAGTCTTGCTAATGAAACTGAAAATATCAAATTGAAGAAGCCACCGGATAAAATAAAAGAGTGGCACTTCCATCTCGTTCTTTTCCTCCATAGCCCAGGCTCTGATACCAATTTGTTAGAATTGAATATCCACACAGATACAAGAGACAACCAAACTTGTGTATCTACAAAAAAACTTTTCTTTTCTATTCTTGCTTTCTTGCTCTTTCTCTTTTTCTCTTGATCTACTTGATCTCTTGATCTACATTTCATACAAACTATCAAAGGCTATTTATAAGCTATAAAACTGACCAACATAACTCCACACATAACACCCTCATTACTTTATAACTGACATATCTGACTCATTAATATTCTAACTGACATAACTGACTCATTAATATTCTAACTGACACAAGAAACTAAGTAAACAAAACTGCTAAAAAACGGACATTTAAAATTTATCCCAACACGACCCATTTTCAAAAATAAGAAAGCCTGACATGGCCTACAGGCCTTGTAGGCCTCCCACTATATATACTAAGCAAAAAAAATAATTGTATAGAGCAAAGAAAGTTTTATTCATGCATGCACTAGTACTTCTCATAAGAAAAAAATGACAAACAAGAAAGAGTCAACATAATACCTCAGCTCTAGAATGTATATCATAGAGGAATAGAGTCAAAGAAATGGGAAAAATAAGAAAAATACAATTATTGGATGCTGAAATAAAGTCTACAAGAGAATGTCATTCATCTAAAACTCTTTAAACCACCATCAAGACAAGGGAAAGAAGAGTATTATTGAAAGATCTTCATCGGTAACATCATAATCCAGCAAGGTACCCATTGCTCTATGGTATTAAGCTGCAATAGCATGTCAAAATTTGGATACATCAGACAAGTTTTCCTTTCATAAAATAAAATAGCACAAAAAGTAAGAGATATTGGTATTTGGTACTTTGTGTCTTTGCCACATAAAATAAATATTATTTTATTATTTTATTTTAATAAATTAAATAGGCCAGCCTACAAGGCTGTAGGCCGGGCTTGACAAAATTGGCCTTTAGCCTATTTATTAAAAAAACTTTTTTTATAAGCCTAAGCCTACTATACTTTCCTGAAAGGCTGAGCCTGGGCTGAGCTCAATGTAGGCCAGGCCGGGCCAGCCTGGCCCATTTACACCCTGCTTGCATCAAAATAAGTTGTGCAAATCGCATAAATTGCGCTAACATTGCGTTATATATATCCGATTTAGGATAATATTTGCAGCTTGTGCCATTTGTGTCAATGGATTGTACCCTGTGGAAAAAACATAACCACTGACAGAATCGAAACTGATTCAAGAATATAATTCACAACCAATATGATTCAGTAATTCGCCAGAAAAATAAGATAGTTGGCGTAAAGTACCAGCATAAAAAATTCCGTTGGCCATATAAACAGGATTACAGTTTTTCACAAAAATATAAACACAATATTAGAAGGGCAGATTGCTGGAAGTTGCTTGTTGGTACGTTCGAATTTCCCATATTAAGGGAGAATAATTTTTTTATGTTGTTGGAAGAAATTATTCTCCTGCCACAATCACACTAAAATCTGTGCATTTTTATTTTTTTTTTAACAATTTCTCTATGTGCAGAAAAATTAAAATGTCTCCCGTAACAACAGAAAACACCTAAAGCCCTTAAAATTAACGCCGTAATTATATCCTTTCAGTCTTAAAGTTAGATTCTAACATCACCATTTAGGTTAAATGTCTTGAAAACTACTAACAATTTTCTAATCTTTTGATAAAGATACTTCAAGACATATCAATATTTTAATTATGGTAATCAAAAGGTATTTTATTTTTTTAAGTAAGATTTTTAAATTTTCACTTAAAAGAATGAGTTCTTTGTAT